GAGTTGAAGTCCACCCATCTTAAAGTGGCCAAGTTTGAAAAACAGTGGTCAAGAGCAACCTCATTTCAAAGCTTTTGGGAAGCTGCTCCTGGTACCTACATTGTGCATTTCTGCTTTCAAGATTAACTGTCATAACATTCTGAAGTCTCCTCTATGAGTTATGACTGAACCGTTTTAGCGCAGCAGTGGGATTTTCTTGCCATTGATCCAGACTATCTTTTGCACTGAGAAGGGTGTCAGCAAAGGCCCATAAATTAAAAATGAATTAAAACCTCAAATTCTTATTTGGGTAGTCCTGGATCTCAGTTTGATCCTGAGATCCAGGACTACCCAAATAAGAATTTGAGGTTTTAACTTATCTGACCATTATATTATAATATACATAGGCATAGACATGAGAGCCAGTTTGGGGTAGTGGTTAAAGCACTGGGCTAGAGACCGGGAATTAGAAAAAACATACAAGGATTGCGGTTGTCGTGCCCTCATGCAGGCTGAGCAGAAGAGGAGGAATGCTATCAAGAAAGAAATTACTCGATTTGCAAGCAGTCGTACCCACATGCCAGCGGCGGGATGTCTCAATAGGCTCCCAGAAGCTCAGCAAGAGGATTGCGCTGCAGAAGACCATTGATTACATTCAGTTCTTGCAGAAGGAAAAGAAAAAAATGGTCTCCATACTCCAGAAAGACGTGATGGCCTTAAAAATCGGGCATCAGGCTAAAAACGGAGAGACCGCGAGTTCTAGTCCCGCCTGAGCCCAAAGCTCAAAACCGTGATCCTTGTATGTTTTTTCTAACTCTCAGTCTCTAGCCCAGTGCCTTAACCACTACCCCAAACTGGCTCTCACATATATGCCTATGTGTATTATAATATAATGGTCAGAGAAGTTAAAACCTCAAAGCCTTGGGCCGGTCACTCTCTCTCAGCCCCAGGAAGCAGGCAACGGCAAACCATTCTGAAATCTTGCCAAGAAAACTGCAGGGACTTCTCCAGACAGTCGCCAGGAGTCAACACTGACTTGAAGGCATAAATATATATATGTGTGTGTGTGTGATAAAAGGTACCCCCCCCCCCATACACTTGTGATCTGCATTTGCTACTATACCTAAGAGATGCCTAAGTGATACATGTGAATGACTGAAACCGCCCTTCGAAGAAAACATTCCCAGCAAGGCGAAGTGGCGACAGGGAAGAAGACTCAGTGGCCCAGTAAACCAAATTATTTCTATTCACTGACCATATTTCAGAGAGTGTACATGCTAGGCTAGTCGGAAGGGATAAGTAATAAGGAGGTCACCCAGAGGGGCTTATCTAAAACGTTCCAACGTCGCGCTGTAACCCCCCGTTTCTGCCTTTGTCTTTCCTTTGCAATGGAGTAGGCCAAGGATATATAAGCCGTGGTTCTGCTTTTGCTCCGGGCTGCCCAACCAGCTGCCATGGCTTTGCTGGGAGCCTGAAATATACTGTGTTATTGTTTACAGGCTAATAAATTAATGTTGCATCTTCAAAGTGATTTGGTTGCTTTAGGTGAGCCAGATTTTGGGCATGAGACTGTCAATCTCTCTGTCACCTCTATCTGCCTTATCATCTATCTATGTAAATTATTAAACCGTCAATAAGCTCTCTCTAAATATCTCTATTATATATCATCTATCTATCCATCTATCCATCCATCCATCCATCCATCCGTATCTATCTATCTATCTATCTATCTATCTATCTATCTATCTATCTATCTATCTATCTATTCGATCTATCTGTCATCTATCTAAATTATTTATCCATCAATAAACTCTAAATATCTCTAGTATGTGTCATCTATCTATTATCTGTCTGTCTGTCTGCCCATCCATCTATCTATCTGTCCATCCATCCATCCATCCGTCTGTCCATCCGTCCATCCATCCATCCGTTTGTCTGTCTGTCTGTCTATCTATCTATCCATCTATCTATCCGTCTGTCTGTCTGTTTGTCTATCTATCTGATTATACCATTATCATCAGACATTTTGGTTCATCTTGCAAGTAATCTTCCAGTATTTTTCCTTCTTGGATGTATCAGGAAGGGAACCTGGGACCTTCTGTACACAAACGATGTGCTCTGCTACCTGGTTCCTCTCCTACAACTCAAGATTCCAGTCCTCATGTTTCTCAATGAGATTTGTATGCCATAGAACCACAGGACTGGCAGGGGGTTCCCGAGGCCTTAGCGGGTTTTGCGAAGCCAGGCCAGGATTCCAGGAAGTTTCCACAAGCAGGAAATTGGGCTGGGAGGAGGTGTCCGGATTGTAAACCTAGGACACTACTGGGGACCAAACCAATCTCAGCTTAACACCCAAGTTTTCAGTCAGATCAGACACATCGATTTGGAAACAAGAACTGGTTTATCTTTATTGTGACCAGTCTTAAGATCTCAACAGCTTTGGTTCGGGAAAAAGTGCCGGTCCTTCTCTAAATATTCATCCTTAGCGGACGGGAACAGAGAACTCCGTTTCAACAGAGCCGACTTCACACTCCCTCTTGGGCAGGTGGCTTGGATTGGGGCGGGATGGGGAACAATCGGGCCAAATTCTGTCTCATTTCCTCAGTGAGGGGCGTGAAGCTGTTTTGCACCTGCTGGAGAATCGTCCTGCGGGGGGGAAAAAGGAAAAGGAAAAGAAAGAACGGAGTGAAGGTTGTGCCCTTTCTACTGCCCAGAACCACAGCAAATAGCCCTCGCGCATTGGTGGCAACCAATAGCCGCTCCACCCTAAGGTAGACTGCCGCAAAGCATGGAGGCTCCATTGTTAATCCAGCCTACTACGCACGTGGCGAAAAGCCCACCTCGGGCATGATTGTCCGAGTGTTCTTTGAGAGAAGAAGGAAGAGGAGAAGCATACAACTTTAATATATAAATAAATAAGAGGGCCGCTTTGGGGCATCTGGCCTTAGTCAAACAGCTCTTACTCTGCCTGGCTCCTTATTTCTTCTATCCTTTCCTGCCCAAATGAATTCTTGATCGAAGAAGCGAAATCTTCGGCCTGTTGTTGCAGCCTTTTGATAAAGTCAGAAACCTGAGTGGTGAACAGGGCTGAGACTTCACCCTCCGCTGGTTCTTCAGCTTGTCGCTTCACTAAAGCGCCTGCGGAAAATGCAGAAAAAATCGATGAGAATCGAGTGCCAGGAACGTTTTCCCGAGCAGCCGATCAGATACGTTTAGACCGGCAAGACCCTTCAACAATATGACAATCTCCAAGCGGAGACGGGTTTTAACCCTGGCTCGATTTAATGCCGCCGTTGCGGAAGGCAGGTACGAAAAAATCCATCACTGCCCAGTTAGGTCCACGTGCTGCAGGTGCTGTAGAATCTGTCGCTCACATTTTATGGTATTGTTGTTTTTATACAGATATTACAACCCATTTTATTTCCCCTCTCCTGGTGAAATATCCAAGTCACTCTGATACTTTCTATATACAAATTCTGCTTTCGGATCAAAGAGACTCAGCCTCTCTGGATGCTACCAAATTCTGTAATTGCTGCTAATAAGATTAATCCCCACCCCTCCGTGTAATATGGCTGGGCCTAACTTTTGAACAATAAGGATGGGTGGGTGGGTGGGTGGATGGATGGATGGACAGACGGATGGACGGACAGATAGATAGATAAGATGGGTGGATGGACGGACGGACGGATAAGATGGGTGGATGGACGGATAGATAAGGTGGATGGGTGGGTGGACGGATGGACAGACAGACAGATAAGATGGGTGGATGGACGGATGGATGGACGGACAGACGGATAGATAGATGGATGTCACTTTATTCTACTTTATTCTAACCAGCTTATATCTTAGAATTTTAGTTTTATGCTGTAGTTTTAGACAAATAATATTCTGTATTTTAGTCCTAGAGATGTAGCTTACAATGATAACAATAGTGATAATAATATTCTGGGTTATTCTTTTTCCACTCCTCGTGGCTCCAGAGGTAGATCTTCTCTATGACAATCTATCCCGAACCTGGTTAGGAGTGCCTGCAGCAACTAAATCTGGACTGCACATGTACAAATAAACGTTAGGTGGTCGGAGTTAGACTTCTCGGGGTCTGTTTGCTGCGATCTAGTGGTGATTCACACCACATCTGGTCAGGCTCTTCCTCCTGCACTGTTTCCACAGCCATTTTCATCCTCTTGAGCCAGTGCTCCAGAAATTAAAGTATGTCATATGTTGGAAAAGGCAATGGATTAGCCAGGTAAAATATCCACCGCCCCACCTCCACCCCCCATTTGACTTTTGGGCTTATATGCTTTAAAACACTAGAGAAGGAGAAGGAGGAGGAGAAGAAAGAAGGAGGGGAGGGAAGGAGGGAGGAGAGAGATGAGAGGGAGGGAGGAGGAAGGAAGGAACAAAGGAAGGGGAGGAGAAGGAGGTGAAGGAGAGGGAGAAGGAAAAAGGAGTTGAGGGAGGGAAGGAGAAGGAGAAGGAGAAGGAGAAGAAGGAATAATCATGTTTAGCAAAAATTATTACTTTGCTATTAAATTTCTGGCAGCCTGCGAGCCCAAAAACGTGTGCCTTTTGGTTGCACCTTTAAAAAGGACGAGAATCCCCGTTGGTAACTGATCCAGAACTAAGTATAAACTCCAATTTATCAGGTTTCAAAAGTACGATGCTACTTTTGCAGATTCGGCAGAACGGCGGGCGGAATATCGCCAACCTAGGCTTTTACTCAAAGAGCCAACGAATTGCCTGGCACGGGCTTGCCCCCAGGATCGGTGGAAAGGGAGATCAAATATAACTCATGCAGGAAAAGGACCGCGTCGTATCCCAACGGCAGGGGAGAAACTGTGGGGCCAAAGATCTAGGGGGCTGACTGATTTTTTTTCCTTCCGTCAAGAATAATTAGCCCAGGCTTGCAAATGTTTATCATTTGGTACATGCTGTTATTTAGAATAAAACTGGGATCCTTCCAAGTACTGTATTTTCATGGATAGAAAGCTCCCCCCCAAAACCTATCAATAGCTGCCAATGGACTATCTTCTGGCACAATATTTACCCAAAAGACAATATCACTGAATTGGCGGTTTATCAAAGGTACCTCGTGCACTCTTACATACCTTCTAAACAGCAGATGCTAATCAGCAGGACCATTAGGGCAAAAACCTTCATTTTGGCACACACTATGCCCTCACCCTACTTCTGGAGAGAAAGGGGGATTGGGGAATTTGCAGAGAAGAAAGAGAAAAAAAAGGGGGGGGGGAAATCAGGTTTAGAATCATTCCTTGCCTAGTTCATCCAGCTGTCGTTCTCTTGTCCATATCTGACTCAACCCGTTGAACTTCTGATTTTTATAATGCCACCACAGGGACTAGAAACTTGGATTCTCGAAATGCCGGAGAAGGCTGTATAGGGACAGCTGGGGGAAGGAAAGAGTTGAATTCCCCCATTCAGTGCTAGGAGGGCATCCTCAATTCTGTTTTTCCTTCCCGCACTTTAAAAATGGTGCGCAAAGCATTTCTAGATGCATCTCCTGAAACATGCCAGGTCATGCCACATTTTAGCCCCAAAGCAGACCCCCTCCGATGGCTTAGTAAATCTGGGTATATCTACCCCCCCGAGAATAATGCAAAATTGAAAATTAACCCCCTTTCTGTCTTTGAACCTGAAGCAGTGACCGACTAACTGGAGGAAAAAAACAGGCTCGCCCTGTTTTTCTGCACTCAAAAGCGAGCTGCCTGCAGAAATTGGCAACTGGAATGTTTTAATCGGTTGGCAAACCAAGAGTGGGTGAAGTTGAAGCATTGTAGCAACTCACACACTCCGAAACTGAAGTGAAATTCAGGTGAGGTGAGTTGACCGTGGGGGACTTTCTTGGTTTGACTTAGTAATCCAGCATCTATCTTAGACAGAGCAATGCAGAAGAGGGACAGACTGGAAATTTGGAACGCTTTCTCCCACCTAAATAGTCAATTGTGTCGGCTGGTTGCTTACTTGCCCCATATTTAGCAAAGCCAGTTATTTATTTATTTATTT